AATATAATATTTACCTTCTGTTTTATTTTTAGGCTCTATTAATACAGTACGATACTAAAGCATATAATGCAAAATTAATTAAAACTTTAATTAATATTTAGAATAGAGAATTAATTATTTTTTATAGCAAAATTAATATACCTGAGCAATACAAGCTTGTACAAGATTTGGTGGAAATACATTTCTAAAAATAAAATTTTATAAAAAATTTATATAATTCATATAATTTAAATATTTGTTATCATACCTAATTAAATCTAATATTGTATCTGTGGTTGTAATATCTTTAGTTGGTGCTATATTCTCTTTTGCAATCATACCACTTGCACTGAACTCTCCAGGTCTAATAATTAAGACTAAAATTATGCCAAGAATTACAGCAGATATTGTTGTTGAAGCATAATAATAAATCGATCTTATACCAATCTTTCCTATAAATTGAATAAATTTAAAAATATTATTTTTATACTTTTAATTATATCTGATATATTATATACTAAAATTGTCATAATTAAACATTTAAACAAGAAACAATTCGAACATAAAAATTTTATTATTGAGAAAAAAATAATTCTAATTTTTTTTTTTTTGATTTTTAAATTATTAATACTTATATAATTAAAAAAGAATGAATATGTTATCACAATTGTTCTTGTTTCTTTCTCTCTCTTACCAAAAGACAAATCATACCAGAAAATACTAGTAATCTGTGTTACTAAACCAAACACGTAAACAAGTTTACGCGCCCACGCAATCGATTCGTCATAAGTAATCACTTGTTTGAAAAGTTTTTTACAAGAGGTGTATGTTTTTTTTAATTACCGGATAAATTAAGATCCAAGCCGCCGATCGCGCTAATAATGCTAGCGACGATTAAAGGCAATATAAGTGCTTTTAACATTCTAAGAAAAATATCCCCCGGAAATTGAATGTACATAATTTCGCGCTTTGTCCACGGTTCATCTTTCACATTTCTTAAAATCAAACCAAGAATAGCACCTATTACAACGGCGATTACAGTAAGCATTGTCAGCATATTTTCTGACATGCAACTTTTCCATTTTTTTGGATGTGCCATATCTTTTTATTCTAAAAAAAATTAATAATATAATATTTTTAGTATGTTATTATATTAAATCAATCAATATCAATATAAATTTATTACATAATAATTTTCAGAAATATATACATACATTGTATAAATTGTTTTACTAATATGAATATAAAATATTATATTCGAAGTTTTAGTAAAAAATATGTAACATCGAAATAACATCCTAATATGAATTAGTTTTATCAGCTTGTCGAAATCTAATGTCATCCTCATAACTCGGATCCATATTAAAATATTTGCATATGTATAGAAGACTGTGATAAGACTGACATGTGTGAAGTAAAATTATGGATAAAAAGATATAATTGAAACAGAGCATTTCAGATAGAAGAGTATTTTACGCGAATCATAGCAAAGATTTGCAAATACAGGTAAATAGAATGAATCAATCTTATATTAATAAATGTTTCTAAATTATGATGATCAATTCTTCTATTATTTTAGTATTATAATTATACTGTTTATGTTATACATATTGTTCTATAATTAATATATTTATGTTCCTTGTTATTTTTATTGGCCATAGATTATCAATGTTTTTTTTAATTAATGATTTAACTGATTTAATTATCAATCACATATATATATATATAAATCATAATTATTTATGTATATTTTAAATTTTATATGAATGCAAATGAATTTTTGTAATTTTTAGTTAAATTTTTTTTATTAAAATATTTTAAATTATTATTTAAAACAATATTTGTAAAATATCCTTCATTCTTTGCAAAATATTGATTTGAAATGTAATTACAGAGATTTATACTTATTCAGATAATTGTAAAGTGAAAGAAAGAAAAAATAATCTACAAGGAGTGTTATAAGATTCATTGATCCTGCATAGAATATTAAATGATGCATAATATAATTATATAAATAATATAAAATATTCATAAATGTTAATTGTCAATTTAAATATTATTCATATTTCTCATTGTATATAACTATCATCTGGCAACATCAATTAACCCTAAAAGTATGATATTAAGTTCATGTTTATTCCCTCATTTAAGCAACATCCGGTATCAAATAATTGTATCATAAAAACTATTATGTAATTAAATCTATTAAAATTTATTACAAAATATTGTTTTTTAAAAATATCCAATTAATCAATAAGATTAATTATAAAAATATATATTAAAACGACGAATTTCTTCATTTGTGCTGTATATATGCATGTATGTATATCTCGCAGAAACTGGTATTAACCGGTTTAAACTGTCCTGGAAATCTGCCTTTATGTTTCATCCAACAAAATTGTATACTATAGAAAAATTTATAATTATTTTGTGTTCGCGCGGCAAAAGTTTTTATATTGAGATTTATATCTATATATAGATGAAAAAGAAAGATAGAAAAACATAAAATATGATCAAAAATGATCTCGCATTGACATTTTCATTAAGTGTGATTAAAGATTTGATTTACATGCACCTCCGGTTAAAATAAATGGAAGAAATACGGTAAGGATCAAACACATGTTATTTTTGTTTGTAAGTCGAGTATGGCAAAAGTATCTGTATGAGAAGAAACACAAGACATTCTATGATATCTGAAATATAGTCGATTTATTATTCATGAAATGAACAAAGAAATGTAATAATTATGGATTCATTATGAAGTGCGTATGAGTAAATCTAAATAAAGATGTTTAATGCATAGATAACATTATGACATACGTATAAAAAAAAAATTTTATATGAAAAAAATTTTGATTTAAAAAGTTCTTTCTTTACATTAATATAACAACAATTAAAAAAATCATTTTTTATAAACCTATTTAAAAATTTTTTTTCTTTAATAATAATAGTATAATTAAAAAATATTTTAAGATATATTCAATTTCAAAATTGAATTTAATCAAATATGTTTTGTCACATTTCTGCGCGGATAATTTAAATTTCTGTTTACGCACGTGGACTGAATGTAAGATATTAAATCGTTCAATTTTTCTTAATAATACAATAAATATATGTGACAATACCCAATGGGAAAAGTTATAAGTATAATCTGTATAAATATAATAATTAAAATTAGAACAAAGAAATGAGATATAATTTTATTTATTTTTTAATTCCTGTCACATTGTTTAAATGTTAAAATTAAATTATTACAAATAAATTTTTCAAAAACTATTTTATTATTGAAGAATAATAAAAATTTTAAATGTTACATACTTTCATTCTTGCAAAAAAAATATTGCACATATATCTTGCGTGTTTGTTAAAAAATTGACTTACCTGATAAATTGGATCTATATACAATCGTGATCGTCGATAAAAGAAACTGCGCGCAACAATGCGATCGAATCACGTTGTGTGCCTACTAATTTTTGAATTGGGATGCTGAACACGTTCCGATTTAGAGTACGCGAAAAGTCGTTCTTCCCGCGAGCGCAATCGTCGTACTATCGTTGCGCTGTTCTCGAGAAGTACCGGCTAACTCATGAGAACAGAGCCCTTCGCATCATTCGGATGTAACGTGTGTGTCAGAAATCAACTATCTCTTTCCCTCTCCATCACCTTTTTCATTTCGTATTTTATCTCTTTTCCATTCTCTCTTTTTATCTTTCTCTGTGCCCCGCCGTTCTTTTGCCCCCTTTCACCGAACTCCGGCTATACGTCCTCCCTCCTCGTTGTTTTTATTCCAATGCTATATAACTGGAGATCCTATGGTGAACGCGCGCGCACAACATATACGCGATTTACGAAATCGCATGTATTTTATTTACCTCACATTCGAAACTTGAATGAATGGTTATACCATATATAGAAAACAATTATTATACATTCATTAATTAATAAATGTATAATAAGTTAAATCATAATTATTACGAAATACTAGTTATTTCTGGGCGAAACTGTTAATTATAAAAAATACATCATATAATACATTTTTGACTATATAATATATAATATTATATATATAATTTGATATCTTAAATTTAAAATAAATTAATTTTATTATTCGATGAATAATAATTTAAGTTTTATTTAGTTAAATTATATATATATATATATATATTTTTTAATCTTAACGGATTGTTAATCATTTGTTTCCTTGTTGCAAGATATAAAAGTTAACGAAATTATGTAATAAAAGTGAAACGAACTGAAGCATACAACATATGTCAGGCCATAAATGATTTAATTAATGTACAATTTACAAAAATTAGTGTGAGAATTACTTGACCGCTAGGGACGATGTTTGTATAATTAGATTGAGGTCAGTCACGTGATTGTTTTAATCATTTTGCCCCTCCATTCTCGAATATTCGGCTAAATTTGTTTTATTTTTTTTGTCATTCAAGAATATAAATGAAGAAATGTAATTTTTATCAATGTATCTTCATTTATATTTTACATTTATTTTTTTAAAATAATTGTAAAAAACAAAAAATACAAAAATATTAATTACAAATATTTATTTAAGAACAGACAATACAGATATTATTTATTAAAAATAAGTGAGTCATGTAATACTTAGTCATAAAAATTATTCTTGGAAAATACTAATAAAATAATGTTGCAAGCAATATAATTAGAGAGCTGATTTCGAAAAATATTATATGTAATATAAATGCATTATATAATTCTGAATGATATAAAAAATTGTATGGCAAGATACTTAACACAGAATTTAATATTTAATTACTAATATTCAAATTTCAAATTAATATTTATGTAATTAATGAATTTAAAAACTTAAAACTTTTTTTTATATTATTCTTGTTAAACATAAGAAATGATTATCCTAAGTATATAATACTAAAATACTTCATTAATTAGCACATCTATGCAAGGCACTTCAATTACAAAAATATGATAATTTTCTTTATTCTCAATTTTATGATAGAATAATTGATTCTATCTTAGAGCTATGATTTTCAGAAAAAATCAAAATACTCACATGTTTTTTTTTAGTTGTATTAAAATACCATAAATTATGATAAATCCAAAATATAAGTACTATTTAAACTGTTATTAAGAACTAAAGGATTCTATAGACATATGTACAGAACACTTCTGTTGTTTTTGGAATGATATATTAAAGAGAAACATTAAGATAATGAATCATATTATTATTATTATTATTATTATTATTATTATTATTATTATTATTACCATAAAAAATTTAGAAGAATCAAAATTATTTTTTTTTTTTAAAAGCAGTAAATTTTTAAATATGAATATATGTGAATTTGACCATCATATTAATATTGATTTTAGCAATTAATGAGAGTTTGTTTTGTAGTTGAATTGTTTCATGAATATTAACAATGATCTGAAACAGTATTTACAAATTGTTACAGTGGAGTCAATATAATTAATTCTCTGGTGGTGGAGATGTTATTTTTCTTTTAAAGAGTAAAATATGCGGTTCTGAAAAAAATATTTATCAATTAAATAATATATATATATATTATTTAAAAATTTTATTTCCAATTACAATTTAAAATAAAAAATAAAGAACAATAATAAATTTTGAATGTTATCAAAAAAATTCAGCAAATAGACATACCTGGTTTATGAATCATGTAATGAACCCAACCTTGACTTTGTTGAACACCCATAGCTCTCCATTCCTGTTCGGAGAGAAGATGAGTAGTTGGAACTGATTTGACCATTTCTTTTGGCAGTACTACATGTCTATACAATAAAAGAAATTATTATAATATTTATTACTAATGATTTTTTATTTTGTATTGAATTTTTATATTTATATATATATTAGTTATAAAATGATAAAAGTTACAATAGCAGTTTTTCTAAAAAAATTGAATAAATTATTCTCAGTTAATATTATATAAAAAAAGTATTTGTAACATATTGTAAAATATGTTTATTAGATAATATCTTTATAATTAGATAATATATTTATAATTAAAAATTTAGTTATTTAATTACTATATGATTATTATCATTATTTAACATTTTTTAATATTTTTTAACTTTAGAAATGCAATTTCTTTAACTTCTAATTACAATTCAATATCAATTAAAAATGAATAAGTTAGTAAAGTAACAAAAGAACATACCAGACGGCCATTTAAACGATACGTTATATCTGCATCCAAAAATTGGACAAAGAAGTTATCAAATTATGCATATAAAATATAGTAATATGAATTCTCTATTATCAAGTATCTTAATTGAACTATTTAAAAAATATAAGTATAAATATATATTCAAAGAATGATATCTGCATATAGACTAAAACAATTCAAAATGGCACAATTGACCAAAATCGAAATCTAAATGAACCATTATGTATTGCTATTATACGAACCTATATTCATATTTATCATCGTAGTATTTATCCGAATAATACATCTTGTGAGACATTTTGATTTACTTAAAAATGTCACAAATTCTTGAGGCAATTCACCACTAAACACTATAAAATGCTACTATATATTTTGGAAAACCTTCCTTGAACAACGTACGCTCACACACAAATTTGAAAGTTTAACGGATGTAACATTAAGAAGAGTAGAAGATAGATACTCACTAGTCGTTGACAGTTAATTGAAGAAAGATTTTATAAAAAATAAAAATAATAATTAAATGATTTTCATAATTTTATTGTAATTTTATAACTACTAAGTTATTTAATATTTATTGTATTTAATTGTGTTAGATTACAAATGCAAACGGAAATTTGTACGTAGTAAAACGGAATCAACATTTTAAATTCAATAATGGCGTCTATACCGTTACTGCATTATTATTTGTGAGGTTAAGCATCAAATTAATAAATTAATAAAAATTATAATACAAGAAATTTTATAAGAAAATATAATAATTAAATCTTCGTTAAAAATGGAGAAATATTCTCATAGAAAAGATTGTGAAAAATTAAAGAAAGAAGATAAAAATCGATCTAAATATAAAGATAAGATTTCTCATAGTGCTAATGAAAGTGATTATGATCGTCATTTTAAAAAATCAAAATCGAGACATAAATCTAAAAATTCAAAATATAAAAAATCTAAACATAGAAATTTCTCTGAATCATGCGAATTTCATAAAAAATCATCGAAAAATAAAAAAAAAAGGTAAATCTTCAAATGCATTTTGAGGTTAGGTAGATAGTTATAAAATTAAAAGTTTATTTTTTAAAGTTTTCTTTTATTATAGATCATCATCATCGTCATCTTCATCCAGTTCAAGTGAGTTTAGTAGTTCATCATCATCTAATTCTTCATCAGATTCTACAAAGCTTTTAGAAAAGCTTCAAAAGCAACGTCAAAAACAAATTGAGGATAGAAAACGTCAAAAAGAATTAATGAAAGCTACAGAAACACCAGAAGAAAAAAGATTACGTCGTTTGAAAAAGAAAGAAGCTAAGGAACGAAAAAGAAAAGAAAGAATGGGATGGGATAATGATTATTTACATTATACAAATACAGATAACCCATTTGGTGATGGAAATTTACTTTCTACTTTTGTTTGGTCTAAAAAACTTGAAAAAGAAGGTTTACTTGGTGTAAGTAGAGAAGAATTAGAAATTAGAAATAGACATAAACAAGAAGAAAATAAAAGAGAATTAGAAAAAGTTAAGAAAAGAAGGCAAGAAAGAGAACTAGAGAGACAACAAAGAGAAGAAGAAATGACAATGCTACAAAGAGGAAAAGAAGCTGCTCAGTTGGAACAATGGGCCAGACAAGAAGATCAATTTCATTTAGAACAAGCAAGATTAAGATCACGTATTAGAATACAAGATGGTCGTGCAAAACCAATTGATCTTCTTGCTAAATACATTAGTGCAGAAGAAGAGGTTGATGCTGTAGAAATGCATGAACCCTATACTTATTTACGTGGATTACATGTGAAAGATTTAGAGGATCTCATTGAGGATATTAAAGTTTATAAAGAATTAGAACGTGGTAAAAATTTAGATTATTGGAATGATATTACAGTAATTGTTGAAGATGAGTTGCATAAATTGAGAAAATTAGAAAGATCAGAATATGAAGTTGGTAAGTACTTTTATTTTTTATATATTATTTATTATATATAAAATATATAAAAAATTTAAAAAAGATATTAATCTATCATATTTTTCTAGCTGTTGGTAGAAGAGAAGGAATACATGAATCAGTTGCTAAAGATGTAACTGCTATTTTTAAAGGAAAAACAGCAATACAATTAGAAGCTTTGCAGTTACAAATTGAAGTAAAAATTACAGGA